GGTGGTGATGTGCCGTGGAGTCGGTGCTGACTCACAACGACCCTATAAACAGGGTGGCGGTGGCGGTGGTGATGTGCCGTGGAGTCGGTGCTGACACATAGCGACCCTGTACAGGGTTTCCGAGGCTGTAAATCTTTACGGAAGCAGAAAGCCGCAACTTTCTTCCACGGAACAGCTGGTAGTTTAGAACTACTGACCTTGAAGTTCGCAGCCCGATTCGTAACCACTACACTACCAGACCTCTTTAGAATTGCCACATAGGGGTTCCTAGGTTGTAATTTTTATAGGAGGAGACCTGATGGCATAGTGAGCTATGTGTTGGGCTGCTAACCTCAAGATTAACAGTTCAAATCTACTAGCTGCTCTCAATGAGACAAAGTAGTGATTTCTGACTTGTAAAGATTTATAGGTGAATACATAATCACTGTACCACACTGGCTCCTTAAATTTCAATTTAAACCAAACCAAAGTCACTGCTGTCAAGTTGATCCTGACTCATAGTGACCCTTTGGGTTTGCAAGGCTGTCAATCTCTACCTGAGCACCAAGTCTTTTCTTTCTCCTGTAAAGTACTTTTCCTACAATGTCATACTACGGCTACATTTCGACATTGTAGTTGTTGTTGGTTAAGTGCCATTGAGTCAGTTCTGAGTCATAACAAACCTGTATAGAGTTTCCCAGGATCAGCTGGTGTGTTTGAACTGCTGACCTTAAAGTTAACAGTCCAGTGCTTATCCTACAGTGCTACACCAGGACTCCACATTTCGACTTTGCTAAGTGCACTGGAGTCAGTTCCCACTCATGGCGATCCTGTACAGGGTTTCCAAAGAGCAGTTGGTGGGCTTGAACTGCCATCCTTGTAGTTCGAAGTCCTGTGCTGATCATACACCACCACACCAGGACATTTCAACTAGAGAGTGAAAAATGTTTCCAATGAAAGAATCCGTAAAGACTCTTATAACCAATCTTAACAGTACTGCCATGCAGAAAATGCTAGAACAGAAGTGATAAACAATTGGTGCTCAGGAAGGTTTTTATACAGCATTGTTTTGAGGAGCAATTAAAATAAATGTTGTTTTACCGTAAAACATACTTTACAGTCTGACCTTTTAAGTCTCTGTTTCCCAAAACTGACTGAGTTCTTCCAAAGGGAACAATGACCAGCAAAAGCAGTCATACTAGTTGATCTAGATATTTGATTAATTCATTTGGTGACTTTTAGAAACCAGTGCATTCAAGATTCAAGGTTAAAAAAAGACATCTAAGGTCAAATGGCCTGGATGAATCACCCCAGAAACCTGCATTCCAGGATAATTAAAAACTGGTTCTCACCACAAATGAAATCATATATAGTCATGCTTGGCATAATGTCCATTTGGGCAACATCAAACTACATGTATGTCTGTGGTCCCATAGGGTAATAAGAGAGTCCAGAAATCCCAGTGTAAGAACAGCACAAAGCAGATATAATCGAATGTAGTGTACACAAGAGCTTCCCACATGCAACATGTGTACATCATGTCTCTTGTATGCAAGTGATTTGCATCATCAAGCATATAATAGTACAATACGTATATAACCTGTAATATATATGTATTGATAGTCATAATAACTGTCATGTAACTGGCTTATGTATGTGCTATGCTATACATTCTATTGTTATTGCAATGTGCACCTCCCTACTTAGAAATCAAAAGTGTATCCTTCGACTTGTAGGCAGCAGTATCCAATCTTGTGTCTGGCACACCTCTTAAGTGCTGTATAGTCTTATCTCTTTGGTTAATTTTCTTTAAAAAATATTATCATGAAGTGTGTCATGGCTCCCAAATGCAGCAAAACCAGTGCTAGTTATAGCAGCAGCAATAGGCAAAGGAGATATATTGATCTGGAAGTGAAACAAAAGGTAATTATATCATGAAATGGAAAATTAGTGAACGCTACTGCTTGTGACTAAAGCATATTCCCACAACATGCAAATCACATAACATCCTACCTCCCAGAATGTATCGTGGACATTTGTGATACATGACTATAATTTTATATTAATCAAAACAGTTGATCTCTTGTATTAAAACAGACAACTAAGTCCAGAGAACAAAAATATGCGAGAGGGCTTCCAGAAGTTGTGGGAAAATGGAATTTAAAGATAATGGAGTTTTTCTAAGAACTTTTTAAAGCTCTCTTGTAGTTCCCCCCAAATTCTATAAAGTATAATAAAATAATATATGATATGTATGTGTAATAAATTAATATATGATAACCCAAAATAAAATAAACCAATTACTACCATCCACTTGATTCTACTCATGGCAGCCCTGTGTGTTCAGAGTAGACCTGGATTCCATAGGGATTTCAAGGCTGTGACCTTTTAGAAGCAGATTGTTGTTGTTAAGTGCCGTCGAGTCAGTTCCGACCCATAGTGACCCTGTACAAGGGTTCCGAGGCTGTAAATCCTTACAGGAGTAGAAAGCCTCATCTTTCTCCCATGGAGCGGCTGGTAGTTTCGAACCACTGACCTTAAGGTTTGCAGCCTGATTCATAACCACTATGTTACCAGAGCTCCTTTGCCAGACCTGTATTCCAAAGCATCTCTGAGTGGATTCAAACTGCCGACCTTTTGTTGTTGATAAGTACTATGGAGTTGGTTCCAAATCATAGTGACCCTGCCCAGGGTTTCCGAGGCTGTAAATCTTTACGGAAGGCAGAACGCCTTATCTTTCTCCCGCGGAACCGCTGGTAGTTTCGAACTGCCGACCTTGAGGTTAGCAGCCCAATTCGTAACCACTATGCTACCAGAGCTCCTTTAGGCTAGTAGTTAAGCTTTTAACCATTTGCACCACCCAGGGAGCAAAAAACAATTCACTTCTCACAATCACTGGTAAAATAGTATAGTGTAAATGGGAAACTGCAAGTAGCCTGGAAGTCCTAAGGCCTAAACAGTGAAGCTAGGAGTGGCTGAGATAAAACCTGAGAAGACAAAGGGGTGGTGTAGGGGAGGGCAGGTCAAATAAGGCTTTAAGATATACCAGGTTAAGGAGCTTTCACTTTTTAGGTAATGAAGAACCGTGAAAGGTTCTTTAAGTAGAGGAGTGACAAATTGAAATAGTGTTTTGCAAACATCCACATTGCTGCAGATTTGGTGTGTATACATGAGGAGTGCAAGGCATAGTGGAAGATGATGATTAGGATGTGCTGTACAGACATTATGCATCATTATGGACTCCTGTTGGGCGCTGGAAGATCAGCACTGGACTGCGAACCAGGTGGGCACTTCAAATCCACCAGCTCTCCTTGGAAACTCTATACAGGGTCACTATGATATGGAACCTACTAGATGCTACTTAGTGACATAGGCATCTGAAGGGCTCTATGTCCAGTGCTATGGCTGTTGCTTTTGTTGTTGTAGTTATGTGTTGTTGAGTAGATTCTGACCCATAGTGACCCTGTATAGGGTTTCTGAGGAGCGGCTGGTGACCCTGAACCATTGAACTTGTGGTTCTGACTTTGCAGTCTAGCACATTAACCTACAGCGCCACACCAGGACTATTACTATTAGCTTCTGTTAAGTTGGCTTCATCTCATAGAGGCCCTATGCACAACAGTACAAAGCACGGCTCGGTCCTGAGTCATCCTCACAATTGTCGTTATGCTTGTGCCCATTGCTGCTGTCACTCTGTCTTGTTGGGGGTCTTTCTCTTTTTTGCTGACCCTCCACTTTACCAAGCATGATGTCCTCTCCATGCACTGATCCCTCCTGATAACATGTACAAAGAAACAAGTTCTTGCCATCTTGATTCTAAGGAGGATTCTGGATGTGTTGAAAAAGACTTCTGGAATATTATATATGAGTCCTCTGTTTAGGGGTAGAGGATTGAGTTTGCAATGGCAGAAATCAGTATTTCTGAATCATACAGATACGGAGAAACTAAAGAATGATTAATTCAATATATCAAACTTCCTTATTTCTCTGAACTTAAGAGAAGGTGCCTGTATTACAAAAATAAATAAAAAACTGTTTCAACCTAGAAGAAAGAACTTTGGGGAGGAAAAAATGTTTCTCTATCATTTTCTGCACCAGCATTACCACTTTACTAGTTCAAATCTAATAAAGCTTTCTTCATGAATGCACCATTAATAAAATCTCCAAAATGGCTTCTCTCAACATTTTCTTTTTGATTTTTCATGATTTAATTAGAAACATCTTTTTTTAAAAAAGCCCAGTTTTACTATGGTAGTATCACATCTGCATTTTCAGCAGTATGCTGTTTAATCACAATGGGTTATAAAGTGAAGCTCCCAGTACTTATTGTAATATCTAGTAGAACCCACGCATTTTGTAATTTTAGTGCCCCTGACTCATCATCTTATATTTGTTCATCAACATTTTAACTGCCCCTCTTTAAAAAATGTAATTCTCTAAACCTGTTATTCTTTTATTTCTTTTCAGAGTACTAACATTTCATATGCCTTTGATATGCTTCGTCCTGTACCTGACACCCTTTTCTCTAACAAGTCAGAAGTTATTTGTCTCTTTTTGCCTTATATCATTTGGACTCTTTTTGTTTAGCATCTTGATGAATGAAAATTTTTCTAAATTTTTATGATGGCCAATAAACATGAATTAACTATTTTATGCCACACAATTGGACAGTTTTCGAATATAAGTGAACTCTTTAGTGATAACATGGAAAATGGTAACATGAGGTTAAAAGATCTAAGAAAAAACTGAACTATATGGTGACACTGTAGGATAAGCACTGGAATGCAAACCACAAGGTTGGCAATTCGAGTACACCAGTCACACTAGCTGCTCCTCAGGCAAAAGATGAGGTTTTCTGCACCCACAAAAAGAATTTATAGCCTAAGAAACCCTATGAAGAATCCTATGAGTCAGAACTGACTCCAAAACACTTAACAACATATGCATATAGGTACATGAAGGAGATGTTGATTATTTTTGACAGCAGGAAAGATTACTTTTATTAATAAAGAATAGTTCTTAATGTGTGTGTGTTTGTAATATTCAAAGAATATTGAAAAGATGTGGGTTAATCACTGTTGGAACATTCTAATTCACATCTGCTTGGCTAGAACAGAATCAGGCAGATATTCAAAGGATAACAAACCTGCTGATGTAGAACTCGGGCTGGGCTTTACACCTCTTTTTTTAATTTATAGAGAAAAAGGAAAGCAAATTATTCATATACGCATGTGGTGCTAGCTGTTACAACTCCCTTGAAAGCAGAAGCCAATTTTTAGCATTTTCTACCACTTCTAGAACCCTACCACATAGTCACTGCTTACATTTTATGGAGTTAGTGCTAAGAGTATGGATTCTGGAATCCTGTAGCCTTGGTCTTAATTCTGCCACATAATAGATGTGTGACACTGGATAAGTTACTTGATCTTCCCTTATCCTATAAATAATCGTAATTCCCATATAGTGCTGCATGAAGTAAAGTAAATAAAATATGTCATACTGCACTGATGGTTGGAGACCCGGTGTGGTGCTGTGGGACAAAGCACTGAACTGAAAGATTGGTTTGAACCACAAGGTCGGCGATTCAAACTCACCAGCTGCTCCTTGGAAATCCCATACAGAGTGGATTCCACGGAACCAGCTTGATGGCACTTAACAACAACAAATCTACCCCTTCCACAAAAACAGCATCTGTAAAGTATATGAAGTTCAATCTCATCGAGATAATGCAGTAATGACAAGTTTCAAAGAATTGTCCAACTCAAGGAACATGTGTTTTAAGGTAAAGGAAGCCTTAAAGAAATAGAAATTAAAATTTTAAATGGAAGAAAAGACAATTAATATATACAGCTGGGCTTTCTGTCTCCTTTCTTCCTCTCTGTCATAGTCACCAGTGATGGCTGTGACAGACCAGCAATGCTATTAGGGGTGTTTAATTCCTAGGATGATTACTTTCATACCCCCCATCACTGCACATGCTAGCATGGTTCTAGTTTGAGCATATAGTTCATATACTGAGATCATTTCTGAGGTATAGGGAAGCAAAATGAAATTGTCCACAATAGTCTGAAAAGCCAATTGTTACTCTTTATCCATGGCAGAATAATAATAATAATTGTCACCACTTAAATAGTGCCTTTCATCCTCAGACCTCACGGCACTTCAACATTGTTACTGCACATTATTTGAGTGAATTTCTTTTGGGAGACAGGGCAAACTGAGAGACACATAATACATGGTTAACTATGCTAATTTTGTTTTCTTTAACAAATGCAAAATAAATAGCCTACTAAAAAGCCAGATAATATCTTGAAGATAAGTCCTTTCTAAAGTAGCTTTTTCTAAACAGATGCCTTTTGTTTTATATCAATGTAATTAAAAATATATTTTTTTATTCATGCACATACAAATCCTAGATTTGATTAACGATAGTGAAGTTTTGGCATCTATTTTATCAAAGACACAGACCCATGCAACTTGCTTGCACACAGAAAAATGACTTTAATGAAAAGGAAAAAAAACCCACTACAGCTTTTTAAAGCTTTGCTGCCTTCTAAATTTTATGAGTAAATTTTGTGGGAAACTGTGCAAATAGAGTATAATTATTTTTAAAATAGGAGTCTTTGTTATTAGTCATCTAACTGTCATGGGTATACAAAGCACCCTACTATATAGACAAAGAAATGAAAAAAAGTTACCTGTAGAGAGAGTTTTTGTTATTGAAAGAATAAAAACTAAAGCAATGGGGTGAACTTTTGGTTCACAGACACAAATACTGAATGCTAAACCTGGCTGAGGGAAAATCACTTTAGCCTGATAACCAGATTACTTAGAACAAAAATAGAGAAAATTAAGGACTGAAGAGCAGAAAATTAAAGTGGAATGCAATTTAAATAGTAAGTAGATGATGTAGGCTTTCATTTTCTTCCCCCCCAGTGTCCAGCTAATTAAAATTACAATCAAAATGAAAGTGTCTAAACTTGTAAATATCTTTAGCTAATGATTTTGTCTTTTTAATCATCTTCACATTCAAAGACTTCTTTTATTCATTTAGGTCTCTACAATAAAATGAAATTTTTTCCCCCTGTAAAAATCTTCCTTTTAATTTTCTTTATCTGCTTCTCTTTAAATAATACATTCTCCAGGTCTTTTTCTTTCTCTTTTTATGACATATTTTTTTCAGCTTTTTCTTGAACAACCTTTACAGTAGTGAAAGTTGTCTAAGTTCAGTTTGTATTTTTATTTAAAACTTAACAATCAACCCAAATGCAGCTTTTCTGTTGTTTGATGTTAGTTGCTGTTGAATTGATTCCATCACAAAGATAGGTCACCTCACACACAATCAAAATCATTTCTCATTATATAATACATGCATTTTTAAATTGCTCTTAAAAAAATTAAGTAGAATCTGTTTTCTTACTACAAATATTTCTCCATGGACTCCTGATGTAGTGCTGTAGGATCAGCACTGGATTGTGAACCAAAAAGTTGGCAATTCAAATCTACCAGCTGCTCCATGGAAACCCTATACAAGGTCATTATGAGTTGGAACCAATTTGATGGCACTTAACAACAACAATAATAATATACCTTCAACAAACTGATTCAGCACTTTAGGCCCTCATATATCCATGCCAAGAAATTTGGAAGATGGCTACCTGGTCAACTGATTGGAAGAGATCCATGTGTGTACTCCTTTCAAAGAGAGGTGACTCAATGGAACGAGGAAATTATCACACAATATCATTAATACCACACGCAAGTAAAATTGTGCTATAGATAATTCAAAATGACTGCAACAGCATATTGACAGGGAACTCCCAGAGGGTCAAGTCAGATTCAGACCTGGATAAAGAACCAGGGATATCATTACTAATGTCAGATGGCTCTCAGTTGAAAGCAGAGACTATCAAGAAGATGTCTACTTGTGCTTTATTAACTATGCAAAGTCTTTCGACTGTGTGAATCATGGTAAACTATGGATAACATTGCAAAGAATAGGTATTCCAGAACACTTAATTGTGCTCATGTGGAACCTGTACATAGACCAAAAGGCAGCCTTTGAATAGAACAAGGGGGCACTGAATGGTTTAAAATCAGGAAAGGTGTGCACCACAGTTGCATCTTTCTCAATACTTATTCAATCTGTACGCTGATCAAATAATCTAAGAAACTGCATTACATGAAGAAGAACATGACATGAGGATGGGAGGAAGACTCATTAACAATCTGAGATATGCAGATGATGCAAACTTGTATGCTGAGACTCAAGAGGACTTAAAATACTTACTGATGAAGATCAAAGATGACAGGCTTCCATATGGGTGCATCTGAAAAAAAAAAGAAAACAAAAATCCTGACCACTGGACCAATAAATAACATCAAGAAAAATTGACAAAAGTTTAAAGTTATTAGACTTCATGTTACTTGAATCCACAAGCAACAGTCATGGAAGCTGCTGTCAAGAAATCAAATGATGTGTTTTACTAGGCAAATCTACTGCATAAGACCTCTTTAAAGTGTTCAAGAGCAAAGATGTAAAGTTTGAGGCCTAAAGTGCACCTGAACAAAGTCATGGTATTTTCATGTGCTTACCTGAGAAATATTAAAAGTAGTCCCTGACAGGTAAATATGGGGCACCACTGGATAAAGGAACCTAGTAATGTTGTGCACTACCATGATTTCACATTACCTTAGCATGTGTCTTACACTGGGTTCTCGAGAGAAACAAAATCAGTGAAGCTATTAAAGGTATATATGAAGAGAGATTTATCTCAAGGAAAGAGCTCACACAATCGTGCTGTTGTTAGATGCCATCGAATCAGTTCTGAGTCATATCGAACAAAACACGACCCAACCCCATGTTTGAGCTCATTGTTGCCACTACAGTTTCAATTCATCTTGTTAGGAGTCTTCCAATTTTTCACTGACCCTCCATTTTTCCAAGCATGGTATCCTTCTCCAAGGACTGATTCCTCTTGACAACATGTCCAAAGTACACGAGACAAAGTTTTGCCATTCTTATTTCTAAGGAGCTTTCTGGCTGTACTTCTTCCAAGAGAGATTTGTTTGTTTTTCAGGCAGTCCATGGTGCTTTCAATATTCTTCTCTCAAACCATAAATCAAATGCATCAATTATTCTATAGACTTCCTTCTTCCTTGTCCAACTTTCACATGCATATGAGGTGATTGAAAATAGCATGGCTTGGGTCTGGCACACCTTTGTCCTTTGCTCTTTAACACTTCAGAAAGGTCTTTTGCATTAGATTTGCCCAATGTAAAACATTGTTTGGTTTCTTGACTGCTCCTTCCATGAACATTGATTACAATGATCATAATTGTATATAACTATATAATCATTGGAGACAATTGTAGAGGCTAGCAAGTTCCAATCTTTGGGTGAGATGTTAGGCTGGAGGCTCCTGACTCATGTAGCTGCAGAGGCTGATGAACCCAAGATCCACAGGTTATACAATAATCTTCTATCTGCAGAGATGAATGAATCCAATGTTGGTAGGTAAGATGGCAGGCT